AAAAAAAAAAAAAAAAAAAAAAAAAAAAAAAGAAAGGGTCTCTAGACAGCCAAAGTTGGACTTGAAGTCACAATGTAGCTAAACTTGCCCCCAATTCTTGACTGTCCTGCCTCAGCATTCCAAGTACTGGGATTCAGACATATACTATCACAGACACCTAACTCTAACGCATATTCTTTTTTTTTTCTTTTCTTTTCTTTTTTTTTTAATTCAGAAAGAGTTTCTCTGTGTACCCACCCTAGCTGACTGGAACTAGCTATGTACATCACTCTGGCCTTGAACTTACAAAGATCCACCTGTCTCTGCCTCCTGAGTGCTGGTTAGATTAAAGATGTGTACCAACACCATCAGGTTTTAAAAGGTATTCTTAATGGCACAGCCCCAAATACCCATATACATAGAAAAACAGAATCAACATAGTAAACTGTTGACAATTTTGAATCTAGGTGGGATATAGAAGTCTGTTGCCGATTATTCCAACTTTCCCATATATATAAAAAATTTTACACATGTACTTTTTTTTTTCCGAGACAGTGTTTCTCTGTGTAGCTTTGTGCCTTTCCTGGATCTCGCTCAGTAGACCAGGCTGGCCTTGAACTCACATGTATTTTTATAAGTAGTTTCAATTTTGGCTATTTTTGTTAATGTTTTACTGGAAGGTCACCAGAGAAGACCATTCAGACCAGAGTTTATAGCCAACTGAAAGTCGTTATTCCAGTTTGCTAGAACATCACTCGGGTATTTGGGATCGAAGTGTAGCCCCAAGCATTCAGAGCAAGGGGCTATTATAAGAAAAAAAACACATCCTGTTATCTTGCTCAACTGCTGGAAAGGGAGCTTTTGCCCACGCACAGTTAAACAGAAGCCAAGATAAAGTAGCTGGATGATCTTGACCTCTGGCTCCTAGACTATAGTTGGGGAATTTTTCACAAGATTCTCCATCATTAGTCAAATTCTGCTCAAAATTAAAATGGCCTCAGCAAGAATATGAGATGGAGGAGCCTCTGCACTGTCTTGCCCTGTCACAAATGTATAGCTTATCTTAATGTCTGGGCAGAGAGCACACATTATAGGGTTTTACCTTTTGAAATTTCTGTGTTTAACCCCTTTAAAAAAGTACTTATTCATTAACAGTTGTGTATTAACAACTCCACACAAATACTTAAAGAATGGATTCTCAATGAAAGTCCTTTCACGTACCTTTTCATGCATTAGAAGTATAGAGAATGAAGTTATTTCAAATTTCTAGTGGAGAAATGCATGAGAATTTTCTAAGGTATCTGCAGTATGATTTGTCTTTCATATCAGTTACAGTAATGCCTATAAAAGCAAGAACACTTTAAAAGCTACTTTACAGAATGAGGGCAGGAAGCAAATTCTCTTTCAAGGATTTTATATCAATTAAAACCTTGTCCCCATGACTTTGGCAGATATAGTGCTGGCCATTAACAGAAGCCATAGGATGTTAATATTGACAAGGGAGATGCTACAAATAAACCTAGTTCCAATAACTGCTCTCCCTAAGTTGGCTGAGAAGTGACTGATATATTAAGTTTATAAAATTAACAAGATGAAAGTAAATCAAGAACATGATGTCTTCCCTATTATTTCTGACATTCAAAGACATTCTCAACAGAATACCTCCTTGGAACAACATACTTCCCACACTCTGATTCTCTAAGGGATCTTGGCATCAAGAATATATGAATACTCTGATGTTGACCAAATCTTAGGGCAGATGATTCTTCCCACATTCTTTTCAGGAACAGTCTTGACCATGAGTCCTCTGATGTTCAGTAAAACTTCCATACAAAAGCTTGTCTACCTTCTTAAAAACATAGAACTGATGATTATGGATTTTTAATGTCCTGTAAGCTTACCATTTACAATAAAGGCTTTCTCACATTCTTTACATTCACAGGGTTTCAAGTCTACTGGGCTCTGATGGGATTTAGGAGCTGAGCTAATTCAATAAATGTTCCTACATTCCTTGCATTCATAGGGTTTCACACCAGCATGGTTTCCTTTATGTTAAGGACTGAGCTCTACTTAAAGGTCTTTCCACATTCTTTATAGTGTTAGGGCTTCATGCCAGTATGTCTTCTCTGCTGTGCAGTGAAGGCTGAACTAAATCTAAACATTTTCCCATATTTCTGACTTTCATAGGATTTCTCACCATTATAAATTCTGATATACAGGTAGCTCAGAATTACTGCTAAAGGCTTTTCCACATTCCTTGCATCTATAAGGCTTCTTTCCAATATGAATTTTATATGTCAAACAAACTTTCATTTTCGACTAAAGAGCTTCCAACCAAATTCTTAACACTGGTAAAGTTTCTTCTCACTAGTGTGAATTCCTTGATGTGCTTTAAGGTATCTATCACAAGTAAGGTACTTCCCACATTCTTTACATTTATAAGGATCTTTACCAGTATGAAATTGGTAATAATATCAAAATGGTCCTCCACATTCCTTGCATTAAAAGAGCTTCTCACAAGTATGAATTAGCTGATGTTGAGTAAGCTGGTACTGAGGTGTGAAGGCTGACCCACAGCGCTCACATTAAAATGATTTCTCTCCAGTATGAATGTTCTGGTGCTGAGTGAGCTTTGCCAGAACAGTGAAGGCCTTTTCACATTCCTTACACTGAAAGGGTCTCAAACCAGAATGAATTTTCTGATGTTGACTAAGTTTGATCAACGATTAAAGGCTTTCCCACACTGACTACATTCATATGATTTTACACCAGTATGACTAATCCTACGTTCAACAAGGCTGGAGACTCGATTGAAAGACTTTCCACATTCCTCACATTCAAATGTTTTTTTTGACCTGTATGAAGAATGTTTTTGTGGTAATTAAACTGGCTGGGAAGATGAAAAGCCTTTCCACATTCTTTACATTCAAAGGGTCTTTCACCATCATGAAATCTCTGATGGCGAATGAGATGTATATTAAGCCTAAAGACTTTCCCACATTCCTTACAAATAAAGAGTTTTTTTTCCAGTGTGAATACTCTGATGCCCAGTTAAATCTGAACGTCGACTAAAGTATTTCCCACATTCCTTGCATTGATATGGTTTCTCATCAGTATGGATTCTCTGATGCTCACTAAGTTGGGACTTTTGTCTGAAGGCTGATCCACACAGCTTGCACTTGAAAGATTTCTCATCAGTGTGAATTTTCTGATGCTCAGAAAGGTATGCCTGAAGCCTAAAAGTCTTCCCACATACATTACATTCAAGGGGTTTCTCACCAGTATGAATATTCTGGTGCTGCAAAAGCAATGAACTACAACTGAATGTCTTCCCACACTGCTGACATTCAAATGATTTCTCTCCAGTATGAATGTCCTGGTGCTTAGTGAGTTCTTCAAGAACAGTGAAGGCTTTTCCACACTCCTTACACTGAAAGGGTCTCTCAGCAGTATGAATTTTCTGATGTTGCAAGAAGTTTGAGCGACGTTTAAAGGCTTTTCCACATTCATTACATTCATATGGTTTCACACCAGCATGAATAATCCTATGTTCAACAAGGTGGGAGACTCGCTTAAAGGACTTCCCACATTCCTCACATTCAAAAGGTCTCTCACCACTATGAGATTTCTGATGTCCTTTTAGTTGGTGGGGAAGTCTGAAGGCTTTCCCACATTTCTCACATTCAAAAGGTTTCTCCCCATTGTGAGACTTCTGATGTCTTCTAAGCTGTTGTTGGAGTCTGAAGGCCTTCCCACATTCCTTACATTCATAGGGTTTCACACCAGCATGAACACTCCTATGTTCAACAAGGCGGGAGACTAGCTTGAATGACTTCCCACATTCCTCACATTTAAATGGTTTTATATTTGTATGCATGGTTTTGTGGTACTTAAGCAGGCTGGGAAGATGAAAAGCCTTTCCACATTCATCACATTCAAAAGGTCTCTCAGCACTGTGAGACTTCTGATGTCTTCTAAGCTGTTGCTGGAGTCTAAAGGCTTTCCCACATTCCTTACATTCATGGGGTTTCACACCAGCATGAACACTCCTATGTTCAACAAGGTGGGAGACTAGCTTGAAGGACTTCCGACATTCTTCACATTCAAATGGTTTTATACTTGTATGAATGGTTTTGTGGTACTTAAGCATGCTGGGAAGTTGAAAAGCCTTTCCACATTCATCACATTCAAAAGGTCTCTCAGTACTATGATACTTCTGATGTCTTCTAAGCTGTTGCTGGAATCTGAAGGCTTTCCCACATTCCTTACATTCATGGGGTTTCTCTCCAGTATGAACACTCTGATGCTGAGTAAGATCTGAACTACAACCAAAGTGTTTCCCACACTCAGTACATTCATATGTTTTTTTTGTATTACGAGTAGGAGTCTGGCAGGTGTCAGTAGGTAGTTTTTCCTTGTTTGTAATCTTTTGATTAGCATCTCCTTCTTGATAATTTTGTAGTGCCTTGGATGTAATACAGTTGGGGCCATTACTAAAACTGGAGCCCTGGAGGTCAAAAGTTTTACTTATATGCTTTCCACTCTCTTTGGGTAAATTTATATTAGAAATATGATTGTCTGCAGATGTTTTTTGAACTTTATAATGTGACTCCAAATCTGAAAGAAACAGAGAAAGGAAGACTTTTATTTTCCTGTAAAACACACACACACACACACACACACACACACACACACACACACACACACACACACACACACACACACACACACACACACTCCATTAAATGAATGGCCAGACTCTTAAGGATTTTATGAGAAGCTGAACAGGAGCAAGGAGAGCAACAGTAATGAAAGTTTAAGTAAGACAACACACTTCAAAGTGGAACAGGTTGGAAATGGGGAGGTACATCTGCTTTACAAGATTAAAACAAACCATACTGAAAAAAAATCTGATGTGCTTCTTTACATATTATTTAAAATATATACCCTATGGTGAAAGTTTTTTAACCAAATCTGAGAAAAAAAATCTATACCATACAAATACATAATTTATCTGTCATCCTTTAAGAAAACTGGCCTGGAGAGGCAGTAGTTGGCACATCTTTAATCCCAGCACCCAAGAGGCAGAGGAAGGAGGATCTCTAATGTTCAGACAGAAGCTTCACCTCAGCCCTTCCTTCCCCATCTCTGTTTTTTCAAACCCTGCTCTGTCTCAGAAAACCAGCCAAAAGGCCTCTCATCTCCCAGAAATGCTCAAGATTACACCTACAGGATTTTTAAACTGCCCCTTAAAGAATGGCCATGTGATTTTTAGGTCTCTTCCCCCTGTCTCCTCTCTGGAGGCCGAAACAATCATCCAGGAACATTTTACTCATTAAACCTGGACTTTTAATTCTTAATTCTGCTTGATTTGATTTGATCTGGATTACTGTGTCAGTGGAGAGGCTTAATATCAGGGTACAGAAACCTTTCATCTAAGTTGAAGGCTAGCCTGGTCTACAGAGTTCCAGAACAGCCAGTAGCACTGAGAAATCCTGTCTCAAAAAACAAAAAAGAAAAAGAAAACTGGCCTGGATTTGGAATTCTGAAAAAAAGGGGGGGGGTGTGAGGGGGCAAAAATCTTTGGTAGTGGTGGTATACAAATGTAATCCCAGTAACAAAAAGCCAGAGATAACAACTTCATGATTTCCAGGCAAGCTGGGACTAGACAATGAGACCCTGTCTGAAAAAAAAATAAGAACAAGCTAAAAAAGACAACAGAAAGAAAGGGGGAAAAATACATTAGAATTTTAAAGAAAACTGAGGATCTCTGGCCAGAGAAACAGGTATGCTCATTGCAGATCTTTACCTATTCCCCCTTCACCTCCAAATCCATTCCCCTAGTCTCATGCCTAGATCTGCAGCAAACTACCTGCTACAGCCTGCCCTTCATCCTTGCTCCCATCTCTAGATATCACACAGATCCACACCTCCAAACTTCCTTTTCTCCATTCACTGCTTTATCCCAACCCACAACTGGAACAGAGATTCCCTGGAAACCCGAAAGGCACTCTGGTCAGTGAAACAGGTAGACTAACTGCAGATCTTCACCTCTCCCTCCATTCCTTCAATTCCCAGTCCCATCCCCAGCTCTGTAGCAGACCATCCTCATTCCTAGGGCACTAAGCAGATCCTAGTGGAGCACCTTAGTTCTTTTCTCCTGTGTGTTAGGTTTCAAACCTGGAACAAAAGGATGAGGTGCCTATTTAACATATCAAAATGGACTGGGCCACCAGGTTCTGCCTTTATGAATATGATACACTTTAAAGAGGAAATGAAAAAAATCCCTTAAAGAAATCTATGAAAACACAAACAAATTATGGAAGGAAACAAACAAAACAGATTAAAACCTGGAAGTAGAAATAGAATCAATTAAGAAAACCCAAACTAAGGGAAACCTGGAAATAAAATTCTCTGTATTTCCTTAGTGTCTGTTATGTCCTCCTTTCCATCTCTAATTTTGTTAATTTGGATCTTCTCTCTTTGCCTTTCAGTTACTTTGGCTAAGGGTTGGTAAATCTTACTGATTTTCTCAAAGAACCAATATGTGTTTCCTTTGTTGTTTCTATTTTATTGATTTTAGACCTGAGTTTAATTATTTCTTGCTATCTGCTCCTTTTTGGTATAATTTTTTTCTTTTTTTCTATTTTTGCTTCTAGAGCTTTCAGTTGTGGTATTACATTGCTAGTATGAGCTCTCTCCAATTATTTTTTTATGTAGGTACATAGTGCTATGAATTTGCATCTTAGAATTTCAGGAGGTATCAACATCTGCAATCTCAAGTTGTACTATTGAGATATAGTAATAAAAATAGCATGGTATCGACACAAAAACTGACACATTGACCAAGAGAATCACATTGAAGACCTAGACACAAATTCACACACCTATGGACACCTGATTGTTGAGAAAGTAGCCAGAAATACGAACTTGAAAAGAGAAAACATCTTGAACAAGTGCTGGTCAAACTGGACACCTGCATGTACAAGAATTCAAATAGATCCATACCTACCAACCTGCATAGTGGATCAAAGACCTTACTATAAAACCACATACACTGAACCTGACAGAAAAGAAAGTGGGGGATGACCTTGAACTCATCAGCACAGGAAAAGACTTTCTGAACAGAACACTATTAGCACAGGCATAGAGATTTATTAATTAATAACAATTAATAAACAAGACTTTATGAAACTGAAAAGCTTCTGCACATCGAAGGACACTGTCATTCATACAAAGTGGCAGCCTACAAATGGAAAAAGATTTTACCAATTTACCAATTGAGGGCTAATATCCAAAATATATAAAGAACTCAAAAAACTAGATATCAAGGAAACAACCCAATTAGAAAGTGGGTACAGATCTAAACAGAATCTCAAAAGAAAATTCAAATGGCTGAGAAACACTTAAATGTTCAATATCCTAGGCTATCAGGGAAATGTAAATCAAAACTACTTTGAGCTTTCATCTTATACCCATCAGAATGGTAATTCATAAAACAATTGACCATTCATGCTTGCAAGTGTGTAGACTAATGGGAACACTTGTCCATTGTTGGTGGGTGTGCAAACTGGTACAGCTACTGTGGAAATCCTTGTGATGGTTCCTCAGGAAGGTGAGAATCAAACTACCTCAAGAAGCAACTATACCACTCTTGAGCATATACCCAAAGGATCCTTCATCCTACCAGAGACACTTGCTCAAACATGTTCATTGATGCTCTAGTCATAATATTCAGGAATTGGAAATAAGATAGATGTCCTTTAACAAAAGAATGTATAACGAAAATGTGGTACAAGCAGTATTACTCACCTGTTAAAAATAATTTGAGCCAGGCAGCAGTGGCACTCGGGAGGCAGAGCCAGGCAGATCTCTGTGAGTTTGAGGCCAACCTGGTCTACAGAGCAAGATCCAGGACAGGCACACACACACACACACACACACACACACACACACACACACACACACACACAAAAAAAAAAAAAAAATTGAAGTCATGAACTTTGTAGGTAAATGATGGAACCAAAAAGTTATCAGAATAAAGTATTCTAGACCCATAAAGACAAATATGGTATGTAATCACATATATAAAGATACCAGCTGTTAAATCAATGATAACCTACAACCTGTAGACCACAGAGGTTAGGTATAAAGTAAGAGACTAGGGGTCACATAGATCTTGTTAGGAAAGAGAAATACGAAAGTTATGGTTGGATAGGGGGACTAGAATGGAAGGTTAAGTTGGGAAGTGTAGCTGGAGTTATTCTGTATCCACCTGGCTTCTATAGCTGCTCAGACCCAAACAAACACACAGACGCTTATATTATTTAAACTGTTCGGCCTAATGGCTCAGGCTTCTTGCTATCTAGTTCTTATAGCTTAAATTAACCCATTTCTATTAATCTGTAAGTTGCCATGTGGCTTGTGGCTTACCAGTACTTTACATCTTGCTTTTTATGGCGGTGGCTGGCAGCATCTCCTCACTCAGCCTTCCACTTCCCAGAATTCTCCTTTCTGCTTATCCCACCTATACTATACTTCCTGCCTGGCTACTGGCCAATCAGTGCTTTATTTATCAATCAATCAGAGCAACACATTCAGAGCAAACAGAAAGACATCACTAGCAGGGAAGGGGAGGAGAAAGGGGCATTAGTAAGGAAATATGGGAAGAAACAGCTAAAATTAAGGGGGATTTGAGGACCAGTATGGAAACCCAATATAGTAGAAGCTTCCTAAAATATACACATATATGTAGGCAATCTAACAAACTGCCAGATAATGGGGGAGACAGTGCTCCAACTGATCATCTGTCACCAAATGAAACCTCCAGTCCTGAGGCTGAATTACATCTAACTGAATTGTTGGCCAAAGGGCCAACTTTGCTATAGAAGCCCCCAAAAAAGGCAGTTGCCAAGACTACAGGCTGTTGTGCAAAAACTGATGCCAATGTCTACACAACTCATTCAACATGGATAAGTCAAACTGTTGCTGACATTCAGCCTACACCCCAATGTTCCAGTGCTTTGGTACAGGAAGGTACTCTACACACTAGTAAAAGAGAAACATAAATACCAAGCCACTCACAAGTGGCAACCCCTGGACCAAGCCCACAAAAACCCTTGCTTGTCCTCCCAGCAAGATATGCTACAGCCATGGTGGCACAAAGCTTGTGGTTACTGAATGAGATCTATGAGATGAAACCCATTCCTGTGTGCTATTTTGTTTGTGCTCTAACCAATAAAATTTGCCTGAAGATCAGAGGACAGAGCCAGAAATTAGATTAAACATAGAGGCTAGGTAGCATACACCTTTATTTAATCTCAGCACTTGGGCTCTCTTGCCTTTGCTCCCAGTATTTGGGAAGCACACACACCATTAATACCAGTACTAGGAAGGTTGAGACAGGAAGTGATATGGCTGGGCACAGAAAGGCATATAGGGCAGGAAGAGACAGAAACTCTCCCTTTTTGGCTGAGGACTCAAGGTCATTCAGTCTGAGGATTCATGGAAACAGGATCTTCCCCTTTCAGCTGAGGAGTTGGTGAGGTAAGAAGTGGCTGTGGCTTGCTCCTTTTGTCTCTCTGATCTTTCAGCATTTACCCCAATATCTGGCTCCA